ACAAACAAACAAACAAAAACCTGACCACCCCAAGTGCTGTTGAGGAGGAAGAGCATCTCGAATTCTCAAACATACTGCTAACAGAAATCACATCACAAAAAAGCCCAGTAATCCCACTCCTAGGTATTTACCCATGTGAAATGAAAACCCACGTTCACAGAAAAAGCTGTGTGTAAATATTTATAAACAGCTTTATTTGTAATCATAAAAATTCGGAGGCGTGGTGAGGTGGTTCATGCCTGTAATACCACCACTTTGGAAGGCTGAAGCAGGTGGATCATGAGGTTAGGAGTTCAAGGCCAGCCTGTCCAATACGGTGAAAGCCCATCTCTACTAAAAATACAAAAATTATCTGGGGGTGGGTGGCACGCAACTGTAGTCCCAGCTACTTGGAAAGCTGAGGCAGAAGAATCACTTAAACCCAGGAGGCAGAGGTTGCAGTGAGCTGAGATCGTGCCACTGCACTCCAGCATGGGCAACAGAGCGAGACTCCAACTCCAAAAAACAGAACAACAACAACAAAAACTGGAAACGACCCCGTGTCCTTCAAATGCAAAATAAGCTGTGTTATATTTACGTAATAGACTAGCATTCAACAACAGAAGGCACTAATTATTGACATGAGCAACAACATAGGTGAATTTCAAATGCACTATGCTAAGTGGAAAAAGCCAGATACAAAAAACTACCTAATGTTATGATTCCATTTAGATTACATTCTGAAAAAGGCAAAAAAGATAGAAAACAGACCAATGGTTGCTAACGGCTGGGGCTGGAGGTAAGGGAGAGTTGTTTAACTACAAAGAGTAGCAGGGGAAATTTGTTTTTTGTTTTTAAGAGGGTGGGAGGCTTGAAACTGTTCATTTTGTTGGTGGTTACACAACTCTAGGCATTTGACAAAAATCGGACAACAGTATATTGAAAAGAATAAAGCATGGCCAGGTGCGGTGGCTCACGTCTTAATCCCAGCACTGTGGGAGGCTGAGGCAGGCGAACCACCTGAGGTCAGGAGTTTGAAACTAGCCTGACCAACATGGAGAAACGCCGTCTCTACTAAAGATACAAGATTAGCCAGGCGTGGTGGCACATGTCTGTAATCCCAGCCACTCGGGAGGCTGAGGCAGGAGAACCGTCTGAATCTGGAAGATGGAGGATGCGGTGAGCCGAGATCGCGTCATTGCACTCCAGCCTGGGCGACAAGAGCGATATTCCGTCTCAAAAAAAAAAGACTAAATGTTATTGTATGTAAGTAAGTTAAACATTATATGTTAAGTGCGGATACTGCATTTACAAAAGAACACAATGCTATAAAATATATTTATAGTGTTTCTTCTCCGAGAAAACACCAAATGGCGGCGGATGATGCCAGTGGGGGCCGGGGATGGGGAAACCAGTGGCTTCCCGGGCTGGGTTGCAGACGTGGACAGGGTAGAGAAGACAAGGCCAAGGATAAGGAGTGAACGCCCATCACCAAGCTGGGCCGCCTGGTCAAGGACATGAAGATCAAGTCCCTGGAGGAAGCAGGGAATCTGAGATCACTGACTTTTTCCTGGGGGCCTCTCTCAAGGATGAGATTTTGAAGATTACGCCGGTGTAGACGTAGATCTGAGCCGGCCAGAGCCCCAGGTTCAAGGCATTTGTTGCCATTGGGGACTACAATAGCCACGTCGGTCTGCGTGTTAACTGCTCCAAGGAGGTGGCCACTGCCATCCGCGCCATCATCCTGGCCAAGCTCTCCATTGTCCCTGTGCGCAGAGGCTACTGGGGGAACAAGATTGGCAAGCCCCACACCCTCCCTTGCAAAGTGACATGACGCTGCAACTCTGGGCTGGTGCACCTCATCCGCACGCCCAGGGACACTGGCATCGTCTCGGCGCCAGTGCCCAAGAAGCTACTCATGATGGCTGGTATTGATGACCGCTACACCTCAGCCAGGGGCTGCCCTGCCACCCTGGGTAACTTCGCCAAGGCCACCTTTGATGCCATCTCTAAGAACTAGAGCTACCTGACCACCGACCTCTGGAAGCAGACTGTATTCACCAAGTCTCCCTATCAGGAACTCACTGACCCACCTCGTCAAGACCCACACCAGAGTCTCTGGGCAGAGGACCCAGGCTCCAGCTGTGGCTACAACTTAGGATTTTTATACAAGAAAAATAAAGTGAATTAACACTTTTAAAAAATTATTCAAAGTTAGGAGTTAAATAACAAAAAACAGTTAATAAATAAAAAATGTGAAAAGAGAAAATAAGGCAATAGAAAAGTAGAAAGATAAAACATTAGAAATTTCCCATGGAAGGGCCGGGCGCGGTGGCTCAAGCCTGTAATCCCAGCACTTTGGGAGGCCGAGGTGGGTGGATCACGAGGTCAAGAGATCGAGACCATCCTGGT